TATCTAATATCTAATATCTAATATCAGTATCTAATGTTTAGGTGCATCAATATCTAATATCTAATATCTAATATCAGTATCTAATGTTTAGGTGCATCAGTATCTAATATCTAATATCTAATATCAGTATCTAATGTTTAGGTGCATCAGTATCTAATTCTCTTCCTTAAGTTTGTTCAGGTAATCTTAACGTTGTTTATTGTTTATCTTATTGTTTTTCTTCTTAATTCTGTCATTTATTAAAATATCCATTTTTAAATTTAATTATATTTGCTGTGTTTAGGCGATCATACCGACGATAGAATACGATTTTACCCAGAACTTTGCTCTATAATTCGCTGAAGATAAACATTCTGAAATCAATTAATAAACAGTGGGATTTATAAAACTGAGGAATAGGAAGACGACATATCGGTATTTTATGTTGCTATGAATTAAATAGTTAAAAAGTAGCTTGAAAATCAATTTATAAAGGGGACCCTGCACAATTGCTCTGTTTCATGTCCATTTGACTGTTTAAAATCATAACTTGAGTCTAACAGTCGTCTTTTTATAGTTTTATGAGTCTTACTGTAGTAACTTTTTTTTACTAAATCACCAAATCAGATTTATTTAAAATGTTTGGATGATGTGAATAAAATATGGTGATAATTTAATAAATAAAATATGTTTGTATCTATTTTAATACTTTTTTTTTAATTAGATCATAGTTTTTGGTTTAAGGAGTAAAGAGTAATAAATGATATTATTTTGCTTTGTGATATTTTTGTATTTTTGTTCGAAAATAAATATTGCTGATTTTATGATGGAAAAACTCCAAAAACTATATTTTAAACCCAGAAACGACATTTTTCGTTATCTGTTTTAAACCAGAAAAGATATTTTTCGTTATCTGTTTTAAACCAGAAACGACATTTTTTGTATCTGTTTTAAACCAGAAACGACATTTTTCGTTATCTGTTTTAAACCATTTAACCATCTCATCCCTGGATTTGTATTAATAAACATGATAAAGTTGGTCACTGTTTTAATCCGTGTTTTCAAAACATAAATGTTTAATTTGGCTTTCAGAGATTTCACAATTAAAAATTTAATTCTTAATTTGTTTCGTAAACTCAACCTTCATTTCATACATAGCCCCATCTCCTTGACCATTCCATAATTTTAGTCTTTGACCTTAGATATTTCAAAGTATGAATTGTGTTAGATCAAATAATCTAATTTTTTGAGAACGATTTTTGCCCCCTCCCCCCCCCATCCTATCAATTTTTTACATAATTTTTTACCGATTTTAGGGTATTTAAAATCGAACTTGTGATAATTTTTTTGTAACATTTTTTGTTAAAATTTCTTACAATATTTAACAATGTATGTATTTCACCTTTGCATGGGGTTTTGTGGGTTTCTATTAAATACTTTGTGTGGGTCCTTTCTCTCCTGTCCGGTATTAAATATTTTACAATGAGTCATAAAGTTTTCAATTCTTGGAATTGCCGGAAAATAACAATGCATGGGGTGTGATCTTTAAATAATCTGTCCTCATCAAATGACATCATTCAATTTTATCATGCCAACAGATAGTGAACTCAGAGAAATTTCCAAGAAAGTGATGGCGAAGAAAAGAGAGAAGAAGGCAGAGATCATGGAGTTGAAGGAGAAGGGATTGTGTGTTAGTGAGGGGAGGTTAAATTCCAGTGATGGAGGCAAGGAAACGTGGTGGGCAGAAAAAACTGAACATGCATAAAGGGAAATGATTTTGGGGTTCATGGTCCTAAATCGATAAAAAATTTGTAACAAATTAATAGGAGGAGGGTCCAAAAATCGTTCTCTAGGAAATTACCATTTTTTTAAATATCAAAGGTTGGCCCTATGCATTAGTTTGCAAACATATAGGGATTAGAAAATTTGAGCTTGTGGCAAGGTTATGACTAATTTTTTGTCAACCTTTAAATAAAACAAAATTTTAAATGATATTTCATCCATCATACAACATGTTTATACTAAGAACTATATAAAAGTGAAAATCCAACATTCCTCTGGTGAATACTCAAGTCATTGCATCCTTTAAATGATATTTCATCCATCATACAACATGTTTATACTAAGAACTGTTTAAAAGTGAAAATCCAACTTTCCTCTGGTGAAAACTCAAGTCATTGTATCCTTTAAAGGGAGTGACCGGCTATAGGTAGTTGAACTAAGTATACAGTGTTGTTGAATGCTTCTTCCGGATTCTTTTGAGACATATTATAAAACTTTTTAAAGATCTGTAAATCCTGAGTTTGAGCGCAAGTTCGACGTTCAAAACTCCTACTTTAGGGGTGGAAACGTTTTCAGAATCGGGTTTTTTTTAAAACGAATGAGTTTTCCACAACACTGGATACTTAGTTCAACTACCTTACATAGCCGGTCACTCCCTTTAAAGCTAACTTTACTATTTAATTTAATCAAAGAATTGTTGACGGATTATATATTTTCAACAATGTTTAATTTCAGATATATTGAATACCTGAGCCGGTTCTATTTTAAAATGTGTTAGATTGTCGATATCTCTTCCCGGAGACTTGTAACCTCTGAAATGGTATTTGTCGGCTTCATTGTTTACCAGATTAAAAAGAAGGTTAATAATGTACTGTACAATTCTTTATGTACTGTATTAGGTGTACACAGGATCAGTGTACAGTATTGTCTGTATCCTGATCTTGTGCATCCAAGTACAGAGACTTTTTATATTCTTGTTCAGGGCTTAAGAACTTGAGAAAAGGAGCTGTACAGTGTACACTGAGTGTTGTAAAGATGCAATCTCCAGCGTAAACTGGTGTAAACTGAAACTCAACTTGTATTGTAGTTGCAGTTATGCAGAATCTCCAGGTGCGTTTAGACTACATACAGTTGTACATTATACAAGTCTATAATGATTCAAAGTACTAAATATTTAGGATATATGAAAGTACAATGAGATTATAATCCTAAACTTGGAAATATATACCCCTGTTAATCCGAATAATCACTGGTTAGATAGCAGTTTGGAATCAAAATCTTTTCTCGTTGTGAACTCAATTCTAAATAGAAATATTTAAGGAGTTAGTTGTAAAATTATCTGGATTAACTTTCCTGTGACAACTTTGACACTTGAACGAAACAAGAAGATATACCTGGATGAATTTTTGTGGACTCAGTTGATGCACCAAATGTAAGAATTTTTAATCTATAATTTATTGTATGATTATTGGATTGTCATGTTTGATTAATTGATTGGTGGTATTGTATACATTGTATTAGCTGATCTCAATGGAAATGATTAACATTTCGTTGAGTTTCCACAGTAAGAATGTGTGATAAACTGTACAGGACAATGTACAAGTTCACTGTTTTAATAAATAACTGAACTGTGGATTAAACTCCGGATTAATTTTAGAACAGAAGCGCATGAGAATTAAAATTTGAAGAGAAATTAAGATTTTTCAATAAAATTGTGGAGTATAATAGCTGTCTTTCTAATTTTCAAAATCAAATCCGATAGTTTATACAATGAAAAAAAATACATAACAAGATATTTTAGAATGAGGGAGGGAGAGAGGGGGGGGGGTAATAAAAGGCGTTTTTGAGTTTATTGTTTTTTTAAATAAGCGATTTTTTGTAAATTTATGCAATTATTTATTACAAAATAAGCATTTTTTAAAATAACCGATTTTTTAAGTTGAATATATGCATTTTTTGTTTTAAATATATAAACCAGCTTTTCGTTGAAAATAAAAGAGTTTTTTGTTGAATTTAAACGATTTTTTTGTTGAAAATAAGCCATTTTTTAATAAGCAATTCTTTTTAAATAAGCGATTTATGTTTAGCGATTTTTTGTCACCTAATCAGGTGCTATCTAACTTTTTTACCCGATTAGGTGACTTTTTATCTCTTAATAATGATTTTTTAAATTTAGAGTGATGAACGAAGTTAAAAAGTACTTCACCTTCGGAGGAGGGGAAACCATAGAGTTAACCTGTTCAGAAGCTGCTGATAGGTTTGTGAAGAATGTTCTATCCAAGAACCTGGAATCAGAGAATGTACGGTTCCCGGAGCATATAATCCGGCTTGGGGTTACCCCTGAGGGTCCTAAACTGTCGGAAGAAAAACATGAAGAAAGGGGAAACCAAATTACAGACCCAAGAGAAAAAATACTCTACAATACTTATTTAACAGCATTGAAGGGAAATGAGTGTGAAAAAGCAGTATGGGACTATATAATAAGGACCCCAAGTGATGTTAGATGTGCAACTTTTATGAGTTACGATAACAAAATGTTCCTGCAATTCACTGGAGCCTCTGATACAACAAAAACTGAAGCTCCTGATGCTCAGAATCTAGCTGCTGAGAAATCTATAGCTCCTGATGCTGAGAAAACTGAAGCTTCAGATGCTAAGAAAGTTGAAGCTTCATATACTGAGAAAACTAAAGCTTCAGATGCTGAGAAAGCTGAAGCTCCAGATGCTGAGAAAGTTGAAGCTACAGATGCTGAGAAAACTGAAGCTCCAGATGATGAGAAAGTTGAAGCTACAGATGATGAGAAAACTGAAGCTCCAGATGATGAGAAAGTTGAAGATTCTGATGGCACAACTGCCAACAAATTAACGCAAATCAATGCAGAAGATGAAGATTTAAAGAAAGTTCCCAAAATCAAAGCAAAAAAATCAGCAAACACCCAAGCTCATGAAGCCAACAAACCATACAAAGCTATGGCCAACAAATCTACAAAAGATGAATGACAACAAGTGTCCTGATGGTAGATCACACAAAGCTACACAAACCGGATCTCCCCGACGTAAAGCCAACAAAGATCCTCTTACTGCTCTTACTGATAATCAGGAATTTGACTTTGTATTTCTCTTAGGGGAATACAAAACATTTGTCGTATTCGAAGTCAAGGCCAGCTTCAAGGGCACGGGAAATTGGAAGGAACAGTTAGAACGAGCAGAACTATTTTACAAAACAATTATCAAGTACATCGGAGATGAGGATTACAAGGATTGGACATTTCTTCCAGTTGCAGCTTTTCCAAATGCTACAGATATCAAACAGGTGATTTTTTTTCAGTAATAATTAAAAAAAAGCAAATCTTTCTCACTTAACCCTATCCCAACAAGGGGGGGAGGGCTGGGACATTTCTAACTAACTAACCCCTTACTTTAGGTTCAAAGCAGGTTTTTTTATTTCTACTGCATGAGTCCTCAAGATACTGCCTGAATGCCTTATTTTACCTTTACCAGACTATATCTATATTTAGACCTACTTCCGGGCATTGGATTTCGACATTTATAGCTCTTTGTAAAGCCTTAAAGAAAAGGAAGCAGATTGCACAATTTTTGCGAGGAAATTTTGAATCTTATTTGCACAAGTACCTTTCAAGGGAATCAACAAATTTTCAGTTTCCTTGAATACATATTTAGTTTTTGCACGTTTTTTGCTCAATAACTTGATATTGCAATAAATATATAAACTGTTGCAAATTTGCCATTTATTTGCAGATTATTAAAGTAGAGCCCAAGGGCTTTCCAAAACTGTATCCACTGTTATAGATTTGTATTACAATAAGAAAATAGACTGTTTTGGGTAAAGAAGACATCAGCCTGAATAGGGTTCACAAGAATTCTATGATTCTTGTAATTTGTTTATTTACGAAATAAGTATTAAAAGGTGAAAGTCTCAGGAGTTTACAACGAATTAATTTTGTGCAGTTAACCCCAAATCTGTATTGAAT